GTCATATCACCGCTCCTCACAGCGGTGCACGCTCCCCGGTCACGTGTTTCGTAAGTGCGTGTAATGATAGAACAGCTCTGTAAGTTTCGGCTATCGCCCTCAAATCGCTCGATCAGTCTCAAGGAAAGTCCAGGCCATTTTTAGTGGCACAAGCGCCGTTCATGGAAGAGTAAATCCGCATCGGGGCTTTGCACAAGATGGTGCGTTGCCGCAAAATGTGGGAAGCAGGACCAGTCCACAAACGCCATTGGCTAGTACCCTCGGTGAGAACGGTTGACCATCACACCTCCGCCTCCCTCACAATGACAGCAGTAAAACCACCTCAAGTCGGCCCCCTACCGATATAGTGCTAATAAAACTTTGAAAAGCGAGGCCCTTTTTGACAGATCTGTTATCGTGAAAGATGGGCAGCAATCAGTGCACGTGCCTGCTGTCTGGGGGTGTCGACGGCACAGCCTGCGCCAAGTGGGCTCGGGACGCTTTCACGCCCGTGAAGCGGACCAGCGGAGGTCGGTGCCGGCTCGCGAGCGTTTGACAAGGACGCGGAGGCTGTTGCCACAGGTTGTTTCTTTCAAGAGGCGGCGTCAGGCTGGATTTGACAAACACATCACGGCTGCTCAATTGATAGCATCACGTCAATAACACGCTCAGCCGGGCCGATAACCAACACGCGTTTATAAAGAGTATCCGTTTGGATATTTGTCACTCCAGACGTTCCCGGGCAAAGTGTGATCTTCTCAAGCCCCGCCTCTCTTCTCTCCATTTCACTATGGCCTGTCACGTAAATCCTGCATTGTCTGCATGGTCAGAGTAGTCAGTCACACTCTGCATAGTCTCTTCAGGTGGTGGACGGCTGTTACAGCAGGATCTGGACTGTATTGTTGCATGCCCTGCTGGACAAGGATTGACCTATCTCACCAAGTGCGATCAGCGCACTACGATCCACTGGCGTCTCTCCATTGCGCGTCACCTCTCACCTTAAGCCAGTCGCGATCATTGGGCGATGGCTTTGTTCATGCGACGTAATGACCTTGTAGCCTTGTATATGAGCTTTGTAAAACGATCTAGACCGATTTAACCGATTCACAAACCTTGTCGAAATCGGTCGAGTACAGCATACCTTTGCCGTTTGGCTTCTAGCTCGCGCTTCAGTTGATCAAGTGTGCTCTCCCTTCCCATATCATTTCAAAATTCACTTTTTGACCCACAGACATATGCACCAACATATCTCGCTAGAGTTATTCTCACTGGACAAGCGGGAGTTTCGTTATCACTCAGGTGCTTCCCCTAACACGTGCAGCCTCGATTAATCCGTCGGAAGTGTGGTTGCCGTGGCACGGTGCGTGCGAACGCAGACATCAGTTTTACCAAATCCAACCGTCAGACTATCTTTTTCATGTTCTTTTTATTTAGTTGGATTATCTTAAGCCACAAGTTTATTTTCGACCCGTCACGCTATAGTAGACACAGACTTACTGTTCGGTAGTAATTCGGTGTGTTTACTTCCAGTCTTAAAATGCATTTGGTGGCTGTCTTATTTGTGGTGCTCATGCTCAATTCCTAAGTTTCACTCCCTTCCATTCTGTCTCAGATTAAAGCAGTGAAACTGACGCATGCCAACTGCCAGGTGCCAAGGCTGTGTCCTCTGTATGTGATGCATATTTCCGTGTGACATCGCCTGCCAGCTGAGTGATACTCGGCTGACAACTAACTGACTAAACAAGCATCAACGTTCGCAATAGTATCATCACGCAGGGACCCACATTTTGCGACGAAATGTCACGTTTCATATCATTCGTCACGCAAGGCTTAGTCATCCCTTATTCACGTTGAAAAGAACTAGGAGTTAAATATCGCGGCCGATGAATTACCTGCGTGATAAGGTAAGTGTCCGTGTGTCGCATCGCTGTTCCTTTCTCAGAACAAACGTACAATAGATTACTGACACCGTACACTTATTGACTGTCCGCTTTCCATTTTCCCGCTGGTAAAAATCTGTACACGTTTTTCGCGGACGATTAGCCTCTTCAACACATTAGACTAGAGGAGGTGTAAGCGTCGCCTCCGCGTGTCATGTGCCGCTGGACTGCGCTCTTGTATTCCGGCAGTATGGCCGGCCCGGTGGCCCCCTTAGTAGTGCGGCGACATTTCAACATTCTTCTTGCACGCGCTCAGATGGCGAGCAAACTGACGGGAGGCGGACACCTTCGCAGTGTCTTCGATCCAGAGCCGCCTCAGCAGACGTGGGAATAGCATGTTATCCAGCTGCACCTTACCCCGGCGCAGCCCATGTTCGCACGCTCGGCCTGCCATTGTAAGGCCAGAGAACGCGCACGTTCGGCTCATGACGCGGCTATTCTCATCGCCCGAACTGAGCTGGGCAGAGGAGCACCGGCCAGCGCCGCTTCCAGACGAGGGGCCACAAGCGAGGGCGTTTGTCCGCTGGCGACGGGGCGGCGTCGCTGCTGACGTCGAGTGTCTGCCTCCCTTTTGGCGTGCCGCCGTTCCTGTCCCTGAGCGGCTTGGCACAGCAGTGGGCGCCCGGCACTGGCATGCACTCCGCCTCCGGCTCATTCCGCTCACGCTCGCCCCGCTGGAGACACAGCCACTCGGCGTTCGCATGCCGCGCTGCCCGCCGCTCCCCCCCCCCCCCCCCCCCCAGCTGCGTGGTCCTCTGAAGCCGTCACTGCTCGACATCTCGCGGCTGCATCACGTGACGTGCGTCAGCGCGCTGACGTCCGCCCTGTCCTCCTGGCGTGCTGTCTCGGCAGTTTCCATCGCCACGCGTGCGCGAGTGTGATGCTGGGCTGCATTCCTCTCCGCCTCCTCTGGGCGTCCTCCTCTGCCATGGCGGTGGCGCTGAGCACTCGTCGACAGGCGGCGACCGCCGCCTGTCGTTTCGACGTTGCCCCATCCGAGTGACGACTGTTGCCTAACTAATGGCACTGCTTCAAACACCACAACAGCACACACTTGCTCTTCATCATCTACGACAGTTTAAGAGAACTCGTAAAACTGCAGTGTTAACGAAACAGCGCCTGGTTGAAGTGTTCATCGTGGCGACAAGTGGGCTTGCTCTCAGCCCGTTTGCGGCCATATTTGTCTGCATGCCAAGCGTTGCGAATGGCACATTTTCGATTCGCCGACAAGCATGCTTCAAGTTGATCCGTATTTCTGATTTATAGGAATATCAACCAGTAGCCAAATATTTGCTGGAGATTTCCGATCGCTCGCAATTCTGAAATCCACCAACGCGCTTGCTGCCGCCCCGAAGATGGCCGTGATCCTATTTCACGCCTCCCGCGAGCTTCTCGGAAGTCGGGCGTGCTCAAAACTGAGGAAAGGATTAATCTCGCGCATATTTGATATGGTATCAGAATATCATGGTTCATGTTCCTGCCGCCTTTCATAGTGGCCTGTAGAAACTTCATAGATGAAGTATACGATTGGAACACGTTGTTTTTAACAGCATAAGAGTTGAATTGTTGTGGGCTCAGAAAACATACCAAGCGGAGGCTACAAGCTTAAGTATCTCTATGGAACAGCAACTCCAGCTAAACAAACCATCCTCCCTCGGCCTTCGTGGAGCACATGGCCGCAGAGGCATAGTTCTTCGCGCCATTAAAGAGTGCCTCGACACAGGCGTTTTGGGCATTCGGGTCAGTTTTCAGCGTTTCCGGGACGCGGTCCTGACATGAGTCGCCACTGCAGGGCATAAACATCCTCCTCCCGGGGCACCAGAGACGCTTCATGTCGGGCCGTCCGGCCGCGTCCGGCGCCGTCGGAAGTGTGGCATGCGAGCTGCTTCCCTGAGCTGCCTTCGAGGCGTCAGCTGACGAGCGGTGGCTAGATGATATGGCTTTCCAGTCCTGGGTCGTGACGTGCTAAGATGCGCTTTTGTTGTCTTTGAAATACTGCAGGCTTTTAAAGACGTGGTAATAAGAAATGGTGCGAAAGCGTCATAGACAAGCATGTGGCGGAATACATCACGCTACACCAGTCAGTTTTATAAGATACACAGCGTTGTATTCGTGCGTGACTCAAACTGGGGTCTAAATTAATTGTTTCGTTGCTGCAGCTGCCATTTCCCTCCGTCTTTCCCCTAATTCTAAAAGTTGCGCGCTGTACACATGCAAGCCACAGATCTCAGTAAACAAAGACGTAATTAGTGTGCCACAGAAATGGTGACATCTCACAAATGTTATCTACGCTCCTATGGCTGCTGTTCTCGCGAGACCAGTTTTATAACCTACAATTACCAGCAATACAACCGTCTAACAGTCCAACAGTACAACAACCAACAGTCTGAGTCAACTCCATCAGTTGTAAACTGGCCTCTGACCGAGTAGTGCCGTCGAAGCTTCTGTCACTTAGTCTATTGTTATACCACGCCGCATGAGGCATGCCTCTGTGTACCATACATCTATGACCGTGAATATTCCGTCCCTCTCCCCTGCCATCGAGTAATGTGTGTTGTTTGTTCTATGCATGACACCACATCATTCAGGTGCGCTGAGCCAGGACCACTGCACTGGCCCATCAAAGGCACCTTCTGCGTCGTTCTGACCCCGGGCACCGGCTTCGCACAAGGACGCGCGAGTAAGTCAGTGTGTCAAAAACGCCACCCATGAGTCAACCAGTGTCTCATGAGTCAGAGGCGTACACTGCGCACGAGTTGGGCGCGTTTCTCGGAGCCGCGGGTGGGCCGCCGCCAGGCTGTGCCGGCCGCCTCACGTCCGGCTCCTGAGGTCAGCCGGCTGGCCTTTGTCCCACCGCGCTCCCGGCACGGGAAGCGGCGCCTGATAGCGGCGGCCGCTTCCCGACGCTGTGGCCGCTCCGGCCAGACGCCGGCCCAGCGCGGTCGGCGGCGGCGCGTGCGGCTCCACCATGCGGCTGCTGGCCGCGCTGCTGGCCTGGGCGGCCGCGCTGGCCGGCGCCGGCGCCCAGCTGGCCGGCCCGGACGCCTCGCCGGCGCCGACCGAGACGACGGCGCCGGCGCCGACACCGACAGCGGCCGACCCGAGGCTGGCCGGCGGCGGCCACGTGACCCTCTCGTGCCGGGACGAGCTGCACTGCCATTGCGCCCTGGGCAACAGCAGCGTGGCCGTGCAGTGCCGCTACGGCAGCCAGGTGGGTGCCGCGTCCCGGCGCGATCTCGCCGGCTGCGCCTGCTGATCAGGCTGCAGCCGCCCAGCAGCCGCGTCCGGGCATCTGGGCGGCCGGTGGTGGCGGCGCGGCCGCCTCTCGCGGACACGGGACCGGCCAGGCTGAGGCCGCGTCTCGTTCGGAACAGATCTAGCTGCCGCTCGCTCGGTCCGTCTTCTTGCAAAACGCAAATTTGCGTGCTTTCGGAGCGGTGGGGACGTTCTATTTTTCCAGTCCGTCCTTTAAGAGGCACTTGCCATCGTCCTTTACTCTCCCGCTCTCTCGCAGTGCCGTCTTACAATTTTGCGAGACGTCTTGTGCTGGGAGCAACAGCTCCGACCATCTCAGGCTGTCTTAATGCTCTGGCCTTGTAAAATAGCCTTTACTAGGAAGAGGAGACGTTTTCGCGTTCCTGTCCGCTTACTGACCTTGTAAAACAGCCTGAACCTAGGTCAGCTGTCCCTCAACTCCTCTCTTCCCCCCCCCTTTCTCTCTCTTTCTCTTTCTCTCCCACTTTTCCTTTCCTATCCATATGGCAGTCTTTTCTTTCACAAGGCTGCCCGTAATGGTGTCTCTATAGCCCAGAAGATGATCTCGCTCGCACCGCTTTCCTGCAATATCTGCAGCGTCGGTCTGTACGTGCAAGGGTGGGAGGTCTTACTGGGTGTACTGGCACAATCCTTATGCGTAAAACAGCCCATTGTCTGGGTACTTCGACTTTTTGTTCCTTTCGGTAATTAACTTGAACCCTTGCAACCAGAATCCATATGTCTACGAAAGCCAAGGGTAAACTGGCGCCAGCTTCTTGGAATATATTTCAAACCGAAATTATCTCAACCGCCATTTTGTTTCACGAGTTACAGCACCGGTGGACTCACCACTGACTACAGCGTCTGTTTGCCAGAATGTGCTGATTCGTTGGAACCTGCTGAGCCGACGTCCCTCGCCGGACACCCGGTTTGAGATCGACATCCAGACCAGTGGCTCAGTCAAGGTGCTGCCCTCCTTCCTGGACATGAAGCTGGAGCCTGCCGGCGGTGCGGGGCCGGCGGTGATGTTCATCATCCGGGGTGCCTCCCTGGTGCAGGCGGTGTACGCGAGCGAGAACATGTTCCCCACTGGTGAGGCGGCAAGACAGCGCCGGAGGTGTGCCGGTGTTTCAAAGTATTAAATCACACTCCCATGTGGCCAGTTTTGGCTGCACAATGTGCATTTTCAATTTCATAAATATGAGACCATTGGCACCTCATCGGACTAGGCATGGTTCGAATGGGCAATGCAACTGTGGTGTGGGCTTTATACGGCTTTTCAATCAAGCTTAGCAGCATGAACATTGGTCATTCAAGTCGGTTGGGCAATACCGCACCAATTTTTAATTGTGCAAATGCTCGCAATTTCCTAACTCCCCATATCTGCAAGTGTTATGTCTATTCAGCTCCATGTCGACATCGACGGTGAAAAAATAACAACGAAAGCGTAATGCACATCTTATGTCCCAACAGCCAGCGGGAAATACTTGCGGATGGTTAGATGGCTAAAAGACAGTCACTGGCAGAGCCGCACAGCACCACCCTGTGTTACCAAACCAGCGCCGTTTCCGTTCGGCTGTCTTCGGACCGACGGAGTAGCGTGCGATCAATTTGTAAATGAGACCAGGCCCGCCGTATCCCAGCCATTGCGCCGAGTTTAACAGCCCTTTAGAGGGCACCCGGCAGCACCATTACTGCAGCCTCAGTGCCGTTCCTCGCTTCGGGCACCGTTGCGAGAGGGAGGGGACATTGCCAGCCAACGAGCGGGTGGTTCTCACGACGGAGCACACGCGCCGGCCACAGCGGCACCCCGACGCGCTGTAGCTGCCTCCCGAACGGTGCACCCCCTCCTGAACGATGCACCCGTGGTCGGCAGAGTGGCACCTGGACGGGGTACGTCTGGCCTCGCTGGACGCCGAGCAGTTGTCGCCGGCGCCGCAGCCGCTGCTGCTGACGCTGCGGCACAGCCGGGTGGCGCAGCTCCGGCTGCCGGCGCTGGGGCCGGGCGCGCGGCTCACACTCGAGAACTGCACCGTGGCCGAGATCGACGGAAATCCGGAGCGGGCCCAGCTGCGACCGCCGGAGCCGGCGCCCGGCGCCCGACCGGAACTCGTGGTGCGGATGTCCCGAATACACCTGCTGCGGGCAGCCGCCTTCTCGCTGAGCGATGGCGGCACCGAGAGGTGAGCTCGCGCCAGCTGACGGCCCGCCGCAGTCAGAGGGTCAGCCGAGATCCCCGGTCCACGGGCTGTCAGCTTAGGTGATCAGGGTCCAGCGGAAGTCGTCTGGGTCGCGGAGTGTCGGCCTAACGGGTTCATTGACAGTGCTTGTGACCTGGGGTTGAGCTCCTGAGTTCTTCCGATGAAGCGCGATACTGAATTTTACTCTAGATTGTGATAGGTCAATGCATATGGCTTGAGGCCACTGACAATGGGTCTGGGTGGCCAGGGGCCTCGAGAAGTGACCAAGGGTGGCGTACAGCCGGGTAGCCAGCGATCGCCTGCTGCTGACCCTGCTGCTGCAGTGCTAGGATAACCCGTCACCTGCCGACAGTGACACGCCTCTCGCCGCCAGCCGGCCGTCGCTGCTGATCGACGACTGCGAGATCGGCGAGATGGAGCAGGCTTCCGTCTCGCTCCCGCACAGCTCGTGTCAGCTGACCTTCACCAACAACGCCGTGGGCCTGCTGCAGCGCGAGGTATTCTCGCTGGCCGGCGGCTCGCTCCGGATCACCAACAACACCTTCGGCGTGCCGCACGCCGCCGCTTTCCTCGGCTTCTGCGGCCAGCTGATCTTCAACGACAACGACGTGCGCGGCCCGCTGGTGTTCGGCGCACTGCACTTCGAGCGCTGCGTGCACTACAGCCAGCACGGCAACAGCTTCCAGTGCCCGTGCGACAGCGTCGGCTGGCTGGCCATGTTCGAGGAGCGGCAGCGCACCAGCGCCGTCGAGGTGTTCTACGAGCGGCTGTACAAGGCGTCGCTGTGCCGCACGGACGCCGGCGCCGTGCCGATGACCGAGTTTGCGGCACGGGAGGACTGCTCCGGCCGTCACCGCCAGGCCAACCTGATGCTGGGCATTGTGGCGCTGGTGGTGGTCGTGCTCCTGCTGACGCTGCTGGTAGCGGTGCGTCTCTGCCGCCGGCGCAGCGGCACCAAGCTGCACCCACCGCGGCCGCGGCGCGCGCGCAATCTCTACAGCTCGGACATCAGCGCGCCCATCCCGAAGACGAGCAGCCTGGCGGCGGCGTCGCCCCGGCTGCCGCCGCACGCCGCCAGCCTATCGCACCTGGCCGCCGCCGACGGCCGCCCGCTCGGGCACTACGTCACCTGCGAGAGCGACGACGAGGACGGCCTGTACGCCACGATCGTCTTCAAGAAGCGGCGGGCGCCCGACCCACCCGAGAGCTCGACGCCGGGGCGGCGCCGCGCGGCGCCGCGCGTCCTCAACCGCTGCATCAGCGAGGGCGGTCTCCGACTGCCAGCGTACAGAGCCGCGCCGCTGGGCTCGGGCCGGGTGCGGCCGGCGCCCGAGGAGCGCGCACCTCAGCCGGACCAGGCCGGCATCGTCGAGGAGCCCGAGGACCCGTACCTGGTGCCAGACGGCGCCGCGTCCGACTACGTGGAGCTGACGACGGCGCTATATGAGGAGATTTCGGCCGCGGCGCCGGCCCGGGAGGCGACCGGCGCCGTCACCGCCCGGCTCAACGGGCCGCACGCCCACAAGACCAGCCAGAAGGACTCGGGCATCGGCGACGACTTCTGCCCCGAGGGCGCGCCGCCGGCGGACTCGTTGGCAGGGCTCGGCTCTGATGTGTACAGCCCGCCCATCCGACCGCGCCGCCCCGCTCTGGCCAGCCCGCAGAGCTGAGCCGACGCAGCGACAGACGAAACAAGCTTGCCGGGCGTGGATCGTAACCGCCAGAAGCAGTCACAGATATGTGAGAATGTAAAATGTGTACCAAATGTCACGAGCACCGTATTTATTATGTTCCGGTGCGTGTGTCGATTATTGGGTGTATGGATTACATGTTAGATGAACGCGCAAGTATTGCGTAACTGTTCATATAAGTGTTCGTTGGCGCAACTGTTCGCGGTGCACATTTTTTGCAGACTCGTCATTAAATGCCAAGTGTTCATATGATGTTCATATTTAAGGTCTTTGCAAAGTAAATGTCCGGACTGAACTGACCCATGAGGCGAGTCTCGTGTACATGTTTTCGGATTGAGTGAGTCGACATGAGCAAACGTCCGCATCTCAGACACTGTTGGCGTATAAGCCAACAGTGCCAGCCAGAGGGCCCTGCGCGCTGATCAGGGACCCACTGAGTCCACAAGGGCCTAAATTTCGGTCAGACAGCACCAGTAACATACAGTCGGCTCCATGGCGGCATGGGCCTAAAGCTCCATTTCCAAGTAGGGGCAAAGCCAGAGCCAGCGATTTGCACTGCTCGGAGCCCCACAGCGCCTGACAGGGGCCCTGCGTTGTCAAGGGGCCCCGAGTCGGCCAGAGGCAGTGTTCGAGGAGGCCTGAGGAGCGTAGAGGGCCTACTGGGTCCGACGATCAAAGGCCCGATCGAAGGGTCTAAGGGCATAAAGGACTAGTCGGAGTCTCATTCAGGGACTGAAACCATCAAAGCTGGACTCTAAAATAACGGGGCCACAGGGTCCTTCGCACTGATCGGGGATCCCCTGAGCCGATATAGACCTATATGTTGGTCAGGTACCATCGTACCACATAGTCAGCTCCGTGTCGGTATGGGCCTGAGGACCCACTTCCCAACCAGCTTTAAAGCCGGGGCCAGTGATTTACACTTGTCGGGGACCTCGTATCTGTCAGGGGCCCAAAGTGCCTAACAGAGGGCCCTGTGCACGCAAGAGCCCCGAGCCGACCAACGAAAGTGTGTGACGAGGCCCAAAGAGGGGCCCAAACGGCCCACTAGAACCGACGATCAAAGGCCCGGTTGAAGGGCATAGAGGCACGGAGGACTGGCTGTAGGTCACAAAAATAATCGTGGCCCGTAGGGTCGTGATCTGAAATATCAGTCAGAGGTTCTCTAGCACCGCTTGAGGAACCCCTGAGACAATGTGGCTGCATAAGTCGGTCAGAGACCACGAACACCGAACAATCGACTCCACGTCCGTCTGAGCCCTTGAGACCCATTTTCCAAGCAGAGACAATGCCGTGTCCGCGATTTACGTTGGTCGGGCTCGTGTATCGTCCAGGGGCCCACAGTGCCTAACGGGGCATTATGCGTCAACAAGGGGCCTCAAATCAGTCAGGGGAAGATTTCTTCAACAAGGACGGTGACGGGAGCCCGAATGGCAAAGTGTCTCCGATGTGTGTCGGGGCCCTCTGACCATTGAAGGAAACAAGAACTTATGATGAGTGCTCACATTGACGTAATAGAGGAGTCCTGTGCCAGTCAGGGCCCCCGGTACCGAGTGGTGGGCCCTCCAAACCTTTCAGTATGGGTCCGTCCAGTCTATGTTCCAATTATTTGACCACCTGCGGTGAGCAGGAATGTTGTTGCGTTAATGACGGTTCATGCGTCGATGCGGGGTCGACCGCACGGGTCAGAAGGCCTCCCGCGTCAGAGAGCGGACCAAGGTGATATGATGTATGCCTCTAAGGGCCTCCGGATCGGCCAGTGAACGCCCCCCCCCCCCCCCCGTGTCGACAGAATGACGGCCGGAAAACACACTGCGGCGGAATAGAATGTCCCTTCAGCCCCTGACCGGAAACAACAACGTGTCCCGCAGTGCCGAACGCAGGGGAGCCCCTTTACCAGACATACGGGGTGTCATGAGTGCTGAATGGAGAGGGTCGAGCTGAGTTCAAAACGCACAAAGCCATTCCATGTTTCCATGAGAACGTTCATTATTTTGCAGAATCGACTAGTGAAACAACTACCATCAAAATGTTTGAGGCTGCGCGCCGGGTGTCGATAGTGTAGTAGGTAGCGCGACTGCATTAACCACTGCGCGTCTGGGAAGCCACGGGTACGGGGTTCGATTCCCCGCGGTGCCCGCCCTTCCCGCCAGGGTGAGGCTGGCGGCACCATGTAGCCCCAACAGCTGAGTGCGTCATAAGGCCCCAATGACACATCCGTTATCTTGGGGAGCAAGGGTAGCGATGGCTTTGGTCGCAGTTTTCACAAAACCGAACGGCGTTGGCCACTAGAAGTAACGCCAGGGGACGGGCGCCGGGCGCCACAATGACCGTAGTAAAATAATGTTTTTGAAAGTCTTTCAAAATGAGCTCGCACAGTTCAAAAACTACATTAAAAGATTTTTTTGCATTTTTGAAGCTATTCTCTGGACAGATAAGCAGCTACGGCAATACGATAAATATAAATTTTACTTTTACTCTTGCAGTTCCCCAACCAGTTTCCAGCACCACTTAGCGGTGCTGTAAAAGCCAATGCTCCATTGTCATCAATCTAAAATCCGCACAGGTGAAATATACGCCCGAAACATTTTTAAATTCATGATTTTGTGTTAAAAACCGTTCTTCATTCAGATGCGTCACTATTTTCGTCCACCCGTTGGCCACAATCTAGCATAAGCCGCGGAATCAGCACCGCGCTGCCTACGGAGACTGCAACGCCTGGCGTCAAATTTTTTGTTTCTGAGGCATACGAGCACGCATGCTCAAAACTACGTTACATATTTTGAGCCACTTATCAATTCTGGCTGGCTGTAAAAATGTACAGGTAAAAAAGCCTGGACATGCTGATAAAAATTGTTGACTCATTTTGATCTTCAATCTGCATTCGTAGAATCCTTGCTATTTCTGTACAACCCAGATAAAAATTCTGACAAAGTTTCTAAGTTCTGTCATTTTGAAAAGGTTCCACTGGACCATTGTAGAATTAAGAGCGCCGTAAGAGAGCGTATATTATATATATATATATATATATGTATAATATATATATATATATAGAGAGAGAGAGAGAGAGAGAGAGAGAGAGAGAGAGAGAGAGAGAGAGAGAGAGAGAGAGAGAGAGAGAGAGAGAGAGAGAGAGAGAGAGAGAGAGAGAGAGAGAGAGAGAGAGAGAGAGAGAGAGAGAGAGAGAGAGAGAGAGAGAGAGAGAGAGAGAGAGAGAGAGAGAGAGAGAGAGAGAGAGAGAGAGAGATATATATATATATATATATATATATATATATATATAATACCCAAAACAAGCATTTCCACAATAAAAACGGGTAATATCCGGCGATTTTTGAGGGGGCCTTTTTCTATCAGGGGCCCTTTGTCAACTCTGTGCCCCCCTCCCCCCACTTACCAAGGCTCTGGCTGCGCCACTGATCTGAATCTCATCATGTCAACCTCAGGCAACTGAGGTTTATGCAGTTGTATACAAGACACCCTTCTCACAGCTGCTTCTTATATATCCGACGGAGCGTGCAGCGCCTCTGCATTTCTCAATTTCCTCAGCGCGGCGTAATTCGCGTGCCAGCTTCATGTATAAGGCGCTGATGGTCAAACTGCCGCACCCCTATGTCGGGGAGAGCAACGATGCAACTGTAAAAAAATGATTACCATGCCGTTTTGTACCAAATCAGTCACGTGTTTGACATCTTTCAATTCAGTTGCAGAAACAAGTGCAGGTTTGCTATCCACTTGAACTGCTCTGTTGCACCATAAACAACATAAATATATGGGTTGTGCAGTGATGCAATCCTGCTGAAGGTTTAGTTCATCGTAAGTGGTGAAGATAACGTCCTGAAATCATAGAACCCTTAAAATAAATCCACAAATTTAAGACATCCTCATGCGCCGCTAAGCTGCATGCACACATACCCAAATGGCACGGCCCAAGTAATCAAAGGGTCCTCCGGCGTGTGGTGCTTTAAAGCCCGTCCAAAGGCAGGGACTGGGAGCTGCTTCAGCTCCGATGGCAGCGCATCGCACAGCGCGGCCGCCCGACAAAGAAAGTGTCGTCTTCCCATCTTGATCCGCGATCTGGTCAAATGACGGTTGCCGTCTCACCTCACGCTTAGCTGGCAACTCTCAGAAAACGCTAAAAACTAGCATTTAGTTCAGCTCCCAGTAAACCCGACACACGTTACGTAATTTTTCAGACATCAGATGTGCTTACGTCCTGTGCATAAGTATAACAGGTTGCTATTTCCATGAGGCTTTGGAGAATGTAGAATGATCTGAATGAGTGGGCTGTGGATCACAAATATTTTCAAGCCAGGTATCTTGTTTAATGCAGACCTAGATCCTCATACGCCATAAAGTTGTATGCAATTCATGCGCGCAATGAACTGGCATTAACCCCCACGCAAATAAGCACCGAGTAAAGGGCTGTGTATGGGATGCTGCGCACACGTAAGGTCAGCCACTTCTGTGGCACCTCCGCCGCACCCAGCGCCGCCTCTCCGACCCCGGAGTGAGTGCATGAGGCGCCGTCTGAACAGTTTCGCCGGGCAGCTCGGCTGCGGCCGCGCGCCGTGAGACTGCCGCTTCGGCCGCGAGACTACCGCTTGGGCCGCGGCCGCGTGCCGTGAGACTACCGTTTCGGCTGCGGCCGCGTGCCGTGAGACTGCCGTCTCGGCCGCGAAACTACCGCTTGGGCCGCGGCCGCGTGCCGTGAGACTGCCGCTTCGGCTGCGGCCGCGTGCCGTGAGACTGCTGCAGCAGGAAATGGGGGAGCAGGCGCCTGAGCCGCTGCCTGCCGAGCCGGCCGCTGATTGGCTGAGGCCGACCGGCACCGCTGGGGGAGATCGTCGGCTCTCCTCCCCCGGCGACGCGCCCCACGGGGCCCGACAGGCCCGGCGATTACCGGGTCGAACGGCTCAGCAATCTCCAAGGGTAGATCCTGCAGCTCGGGGTTTCTGACGAGCTGGCAGTTCTGCGATGAAAACTACCCAACAGGGTGCAACGCTTCTCTGTGAGTCATTGTACTACATTTCGCTGTAACACGGCGCCCCAACACTCGGTTGATGCCGAAGCCGGTGAAAGTTTCTTGTGGTGGATTTAATTCCAGACCTCACCGCGCGAGCCTATGTCATATCATCCGGGTACTTGCGCCCATGCGCAGCCTGCCTTTGTCCCACTGTTTATGCGTGGGTGTTTTGTTCAGTGACTCGCCCCGCATTCAAGTGCGTTGACGCGCGAAAGATACAT